AAGGGAGATTCGCTTGTCTACACACACATATATACCCTTAATGTGGGTGCCGGGGAAGCAGTAGTGTCAGAGCAATAACGTCAAACTTGAAACTTGAAACTTGAAGTTTCAGTTGAATTCAAGTTTCAAGTTTGACACTACTGCAGTCGTGGTGAATATTATCCAACGCAAATAACTCGGTATCAGATTGACTTTCAACTCAAAGATGTAGTCGACAATGCCTGTAGAGAAAAATATCAGACTACTGAATTTACCAGCAGATTAGCATATACTCAGTTGTCGAAGTGTAGGAATATTCTTCTTCTTTTACTTCTCAATAACAGCATGTTAGATTCTGTTTGTTTCATAGTAATCTGCAGCTTTCGAAGAATAAATTTATAAGATTACGAATATACCAATGGATGAATATGGTAGAACCAAGCGGATGAATAAAAAAAGCAGCAGATAAGAATCTTTAGAGCAGAGGCAAGTTTATCACTATTTACCTCTTCAATATTATCTATTACGAGTATTATTTCGAGCTAACAATTATGCAAGATCTTGGAACAAAAACAAAGGACGAATACTAGTATTCACTTCCTTTTAAGTTTCCAGTAGAAAAATTCTATTTGAATCGAATCATACGAATATGAATTTATCGAGCCACGTAAGATAAAATAGATTTGTTTTCTAAAATACTTGGAAATTTTATCTAGGTAAACTAGTCTAGTCTTTGCTTACCTGGCTCTCACTTGTCTTGAAAATAAAGTTAAATAGAAGTAACAGTTGATTATTGTTTACCCATTTTTCTCTCTAGCAAAAAGATAAGACGATACGCAGAAAGAAAAGTATTACTATTACCTTTCTTGTTGTTATTGCAAGTCGCAATTTGTGACGAAATAAAACATTCATAATAATCATGATTCATGAAGCTACGTAATGTGTTTTTTTTTCATTGTAGAATTTATAATAAGAATTCCCATGTTGGGAAAACCGGAGTAAAATTGACGGTTTACCGCGGTTTTACCGCTCCGGTTACCGGCTCCCATCAACACAAATTTACCGCGGTAAGCCGGAGCAGTCATTCAATTCCGCAATGTTGAACATTCCGGAACCAGTTCCGCCCCGGAATCAGTTCCGTCAATTCCGGAATTAGGTCAAATATGAACACCGTCCGATTCCGGAACTGGTTCATCTGATTCCGGAATTAGGTCAAATATGAACACCGTCCGATTCCGGAACTGGTTCATCTGATTCCGGAATTAGTTCCTCCAATTCCGGAACTGCTTCGCCCGATTCCGGAACTGCTTCGTTCGATTCCGGAATTAGTTCGTCCGATTCCCGGAATNACATTTTTCCTTTTCGATATTTTTCTTTCGACATTTTTCCTTTTCGACATTTTTCTCTTCGACATTTATCCATTCGGCATTTTTCCCTTTCGATATTTTTCTTTCGGTATTTTTCTTTCGGTATTTTTCTTTCGGTATTTTTCCCTTTCGACATTTTTCCTTTCGGCCTTTCTACGGCCAACCGGGCGAAGCAGTTCCGGAATTGGAGGAACTAATTCCGGAATCAGATGAACCAGTTCCGGAATCGGACAGTGTTCATATTTGACCTGATTCCGGAATGTTCAACATTGCGGAATTGAATGACTGCTCATTTGGATATGTGTTAATGTCATTTTATAGTACAACACAAGCGGTATCATATATGTGAAAACCGCAAATGCACAGTAGTGCTAGATGAATTTAGGTAATTTTAAAAAAAAATCGGCGAAGACTTTTGCATCAACCCAATAGTATCTACCATTGCTATAGATACCAACTAACAATTAATACTCCATTACAGGTATGAGCAAATAAGTAATGACCTAAGTATAGATTTTGGAAATTAAAGTCGATTTTTTACATGAGCTCTTTTAAATTATTTTAGTAAGTCTAAGAGATATATGTGAGTTCCACATTTTAGCCTCAAAGGGGCTGCGCTGACAAGCCTTTTTTTCTGGCGAATTAAACTATGTTTATAATCTCAAATTGAGATAAAAAAAGAAAATCTACATTTTATCTAGAATATGGTAATGATAAGCCGTAGGATATCCTGCAGTTCGTCACGTGTTAATTATTATTATTGTTGAAAAATCTGCTTTTGAAAATTCGTTGTTTGCGTCGAGCCGGATGTTTTTTGGCTCGTTTCAGTCTATGATACACATAATAAAACGATGAACAAATGCTTAGTCGATAGACTAAGACACATGAACAATGTAACAGTTTTTATTTTAATGTTCTTCAATTCGTCACTAGGACATATTTTAGTTAAGAAAAAGCTGTTGGAATAGAAAACTCTATTTGTCGTTATATGGGGGATTAAGACAATTTTTTGTTAGAGTATATTATCATGTTCCATAAAGATATTTTTACAGGAGTTATAAAGATACTACTTACATTGTTAGCGTACAATTTGATAGAATACGCAACTACTTTACTTGCTCATAAAAAAGATCTGATTTTTGTAGCTTAGATAACTGATGGATTTATTTTATATAGTTATGATCACATAAATTCGGTGCAATTAAATATAACTCATACTAAATTCGTCATGAAACATATGACAAATAAAATGTAAATTTATCAATTTCATTATTTTTTTCTCATGAATCACGTGATATGATCTTAGTTGCGTTCTATTTGCCAATTTAATTATTTTAAGGGCTTTTATTTGTTTTCAGACGAAAATGGCTTCTTTATGCGTTTTTTTATTGGACGTAGGCAGTGCACAGTCACTGGTGCTATTTGAGTTTTTAAACGCGTTTTTTCAAAATTTTGTCTTTTTGGTTATCCACGCCCAATGCAAAAATAGAATATTTCATTATATGTCTCTCTGGACTTCCACTTGTTGTATCGTATAAAATAAAAAAATTTGATAAAGTAAGCAGAACTGATACTGTGTGACTCAATTTGTATGGTGGATGTGCTATAGGCAAGGGGTAAAAGGTGCGACTTCCGTACTTCACGTACTCCCTTGTACTTCACTCATGCACTGAAAAAAATAGTACCACACGGAACCAAGAAAGTTTCGTCCTCAGTGCGAAACTCATAAACGGTTTCGCAGATACTAAGAAACTTAAAAAGGGTTTCGAACTTTGAAACGAATTCTGAACCTTTAGGTTTTGTAGGTTTTCCATAAAACCTTCGAAAAAGTTTCCTGAACTCTTGATAATGATTTTGAGACTATCTTGGGGTTTTACGAAATATTTTTGAGGGTTTAGAATTCGTTTCAAAAATTGTTCCGTGTGGTGCTTTGTTTTTAGTGTACTTCTCTATACTCCCTTGTACTTCCATCGTACTTCCATGTACTCCCATTCTACCCCCATCGTACTTCGAAGTGCGGGAGTCGCTCTTTTCTCCCTTTATGAAATATTCATAAATATAATAAAGGATTACTATGAAGCAATTAGTTGCACGAGCGAATTTGACATTTGAAAGAAACACTTTCGTTTGTTATGGGCCCCATAAATTTGAATGTTAATCTTTTATAAAATACAAAAGAAAACCAATTCATCATTTTTTATTGTACAAAGCACACAATTCTGCATAATATCTTAAGTATCTTGACATTTGAAAGCAATACTTCCGTTTGTATTGACTCTATAAATTTCGAATATTAATCTTGATAGAATACCAAAGAAAATCAATTTATCATTCTTATAGTGCAAAGCAGATATGGTGCTCTATACGCTCTTAACCATTTTGATATGTATAGATGGCACGAGCTCGTCGTCAAAACAAACTACAGCTGTATGTAATGAATTTTGTACGAAATTAAAATCAAATTGATTTTTTACTCTGTAAACTATACTTTGTAATGAAATGTTGATGGCAGTATTCAAAATGTCATAATAATCAAAAAGTATTTCTATACTGAATCACGCTTTCTTAGACTTTATCGAGTAGCCAGGTAAGCGAGATAATATTATGGAATCAGTAGTGTCATGATTCCCAAATTCTAGAATTTTCATAGAATTCTGAACTCATTCGAATTAATCAGAATATTCGAATTGTAGAATAATCAGAACATCACAATAACTAGAATTATCAGAATTATTAGAAAAATGAGAATTTTAGAATATCAGATTTTAGAGTAGTAAGCTAGCCTGACTGGTGAAATTTTTAGGGTTTCAGAGAGCTATACTTCTTGAGCTTGAAATAATCAGAATTTCAAAATAAATATAAATTTTAAGAGCGTCAAATTATATAAGAATACAACATTATACTCGATTTGTTAATGATGGGAATTTGCAGACCTGCAATATTAAAAAGACTGTACTATTTGATTGAGTTTGATGTACAAGTTATTATTCATGCATGCAGTTTGTAAACAATAAATTCTCGATGTGTGTTTTATACCATCTATTATGCCAGTTTACATGAATAGTAGAGTTTTTTTAATATTACAGGTCTACAAATTTTCACAATATTTGATTATAAATTACCGCAATCAACAAATCGAGTACAATGTTGTATTCTTAATAATTTGACACTCTTATAATTTACACTTATTTTGAAATTCTGATTATTTCAAACTCAAGAAGTATAGCTCTCTCAAACGCTAAAATTTCATACTTCAGGCTAGTTAACTACTCTGAAATTCTGATAATTCTAGAATTCTCATTATTCTAATTATTATTATTATTCTAAAATTCAGATTATTCTAATGATTCTTATTATTCCCATAATTCTAATAATTCCAATAATTCTAGTTATTGGGAAGTTCTCATTATTCTACAATTCGAATATTTTGATTAAATCGAATGATCTCAAAATTCTATGAAAATTCTAGAATCTGGGAATAATGACAGGGCTCATATTGAAGAACCTCATGCGTTATTATTGCATAAACAAATGCCTATGAGACATAAATAAGAATTCGAGGTATCAGTTTTTAAAATGTTCACATTTGACTAAACTCATCGAGAGTTTTTGTTTAGGAAAACTTTTAAGTCTATTCAAAATTCGATGTTTTAGGTGACCTAAGGGAGGCCACGGCGTTTCTGTTGAAAATTCACTAAATATTTAATATGTCAAGAAAGAAATCTAAAGTAACCAAACCATTTTGTAACTTTTTTAATAATTCACTACCATTGATCGAATAAACATAGTTTCGATCGAACATCGATTTAACAGTCTGAAAAGTTCCCTTGTAGACGAAGTCGACTTATTGAATGCCAAGTCAATAGTCAGATTTTTAAATAAAAAAATAATAAAAACTCAATGATTCATATTTCAATTATGTGAAACTAATTTCTGGGTAAATTTTCATACTTAAATGTACATTTTATCTTGTAATAATGATTTCTGGAATGAATGTAAAGCTCAAATAAGTTATCTTCTAAAATGTTGAACAAAGTCCGAAGTGTTTGATACATTTATTCTTGCGTTCAAATAGGCTAGAAACCGAGCTTATGGATTAAATTTTCTTTACTGCATAAAATCAATGTCTAAATAGAACTTTGGTAATATGATCATTGTTACCTAGAATAATTTTTGCTTTGCGTTTTGAGGAATCTTACAGCTGGTACAATGAACCGGCTAAGTGGTCATCGAATTCATCTAATAGTTTCGTTCATACTGATGGAAACACTGGGTTTTGGAGAAAAACCTACTACGGTCTCGAAAGGGACAACGGCCACTTTTATTATCGTTCTATGGACGCTGAACAATCATTTACTGCTACGGTAAACCTAGAAGCCGACTACAAAGTACTTTATGATCAAGCTGGTCTGATGATTCGCAATGATGCATGTTACAGAAGCCCAACTGTAACTTAATTCAATTTCACAACGTAGAAAATACACGTTTCTATTTTCCAATCTGATCCGATCGTGATCTATTCTATTTTATTAGTCTTTTTTTTTCCTATTTATACCGTACAACACATACACACACAAGAGAGAGAGAGAGAGAGAGAGACAGACAAGAGCAGAAAGAAGAAAAGACGTTTGTTTCTTCGACTAGACTATTTTGTACATAAATAGGATGGTGCATCATTCTATAAATGCACTTAATTCTAGTCGAAAAACAATGCCACTATTTACATCGTCACGCACGGGAGGAAAGAAGACACAATAGAGAGAGATGAAGAGAGAGAGAGGAAAGAAATAATGGAAAAGAACGGTTGAAGTATGTGCATCTCGAGTTGGATTGCACATACAAGAAACACACAACATACAAAAAAGGAAGCAAGAACTAAATAAATAAATAAATAAATAAGGTTTGTTAGAGTACTCTCTAACACAATCCCCTCGCCCATTTAAATCGAGCTTCGCTCGATTTACAATTGGTTAATAACTGTATACAATAAATATAATTTCAATAATACAAAAAATATATATATATACATTTCAGAGAGAAAAAATCTATTAGTTATTTTTTTTTTCTTTTTCTCCTTACATACAATTAATTGACGTTCATATTCGATTCATGAGCTGAATTAATAACATCGACGTAAACGACTAGTGTGCACATTGAAAATTTCATTTAATTCATTGGGATTTTGAAGTCGATATATTGATTCATTCAATTGTTGAATTATTTGATATGGTCCATTATATTTCGATGCCAATTTATAATTTAATCCAAGTCGTTTCACGTAAACAAAATCGCCAATTATATAAGTTTCATTCATACGATTTGCATCATAACGTTGTTTTGATTTTTCCTGACTAATCTTAATATTTGAACGGGCTATCTGTTTTGCCATTTGTAGATATTCATTCAATTGTTTTACATATAAATGAGGTTCAGTAACTGTTGTTGTTCGTTGTGGTAAATCAAAAGGTAACTTACATAATCTTCCATATATTAGTTCAAAAGGTGTAAGTTTTGTGGTAACATGACGACTACTATTATATGCAAATGTAATTTTTGATAATTGTTCGTCCCAGTCATTTCTCTTTGTATTACATGTTGCTGATAAAACATCACACATTGATGCATTAAAGCGTTCACAAACACCATTTGATTTAGGATTGTATGGTGTTGTAAATATGTGGCAAACACCACATAAAGACATAATCGCATTAAACAATTCGGCTGTGAAGTGTGTACCATTATCTGTTAATATTTGATTCGGAGCACCATGTTTGAGAATCACATCTTCCACTAATACTGTTGCTGCAGTTAAAGCAGAATTATCACGTGTAGCTTTGGCAATAACATATTTAGATAATAAATCAGTTATAACTAATATATATTTATTACCTGATGCAGATGGAGGTGTTATTGGGCCAACGAAGTCCATTGATAAATTCTCCCATACTCCTACAGGAGGATCAACTGGATTTAAATAACCGTTGGGTTTTTTTCTGGAGTATTTATTAATATTACAATTTGGACATGATTTAATATGTTGGGCAATATCATAATACATTCTTGGCCAGTAAAAACGATCGCGTATTTTATAATACGTCCTATCTATTCCTAAATGTGCACCATTCATTGGTGAGTTATGGTAAGCTAATAATACATCTTTAATTTTGGTTTTTGGTATAACTGGTACTGCTATAATTCTATTGATTCTTTTAACATTGCGACATAATATACCATTATTTAAACAATATTCAATTTTTAATGGCGTTTTCTCAATATTTTCTATTATTTTCTTAATAGAATTATCTTCTTGTTGATGATGTTTTAGCTGTTCATTCGTAAAGACAGTAATATGATTAACTACATTTAATGGATCAAATGTTCTAACTGGTTGATGTGTTGTTGATGCAGGTACATTTGGTTCTAAAAGTTGTTGTTGTTGTTGTTGTTTCATCGCACGTGTTGTTATTGTATTAACTATTGAAGGTTGTATTTCTGTTTGAATTGCTATTGAACGTTGTTCAATTTCATCGTCAAATGGTTCACCAACAGGATAACGAGAAAGACAATCAGCCACGCAATTTTTGTTACCTTTAACATGTTCAATTTTAAACGTATAATCTTGAAGTGCCATTCTCCACCGATTCAGCTTCGGATTACTGTTGTATTTCCGATTTAACCAACATAATGCATGATGGTCTGTTCGGACTATAAAATTTCGACCAGCTACATAATGATGCCATTTCCGTATTGATGATACAACAGCAAAACATTCTTTTTCTGTTGCGTTCCAGTTCTGTTGTTGTTTGTTTAGCTTCTGTGACATGTAGGCAACTGGTTGTTCACCTTTACCATCATTTTGCATCAGCACTGCTCCAATGCCATAATTAGATGCATCCACTTGTACAATAAATGGTATACTTGAATCAGGATATTGGAGTAATAATTTCGATGATAAAATTTGTTTAATTTTATTAAACGAATTTTGTTCTTCTTCACCCCATATAAACTTTGCATTCTTCTTTGTTAGATCAAATAAGGGTTGAGCTAATGTGGAGAAATTCGGTATGTGATTCCTGTAATATTCGGCCATTTTAACAAAAGATATTGCTGCTTTAATATTACTTGGCACTGGAATATCATTTATAGCACGTACTTTATCAGGACAAGGTGATATGCCATTTTCATTAATCATATGACCTAAAAATTTAATTTTTTCTTGCATAAATTCACATTTTGTAACGTTCAGTCGAAAATTTGCATGATTTAATAACGATAAAACTTGTTCCAAATGGTGTAAATGTTCATTAATTGATTTCGAATAAATGATAATATCGTCAATATACGATAATGCACAATTCCATTGGAGTTGTCCTAGTAATTTATTAACTATTCGTTGGAACGTTGGAGGCCCGTTTTTTATTCCTTGTGGCATAACATTAAATTCCCATAGTTTGTCCCTGGTGGTAAATGCAGTTTTTGGTTTGTCTTCTTCATCGATTGGCACCTGGTAATAACCTCCTTGGAAATCCAGCTTGGTAAAATATTTAGCGCCACCAAGTGTATCAAATATTTCTTGTATTCGTGGTAATGGATAATTATCTTTTTCCGTAATTTCATTAAGTCTTCTATAATCAATACAGAATCTCCATGTACCATCTTTTTTTTTCTGTAAAACCACCGGCGATGACCACGGAGATTGTGATGGTCTAATTATCTTATCATGGTAAAATTGTTCGCACATATCAGCAATAATTTTTTCTTGTGCTGTTGTTTTCCGATATGGACGTTGTACAATAGGTCGAGTACTTGTTATATTAATTGTATGTTTAACAATTGATCTAATTGTCGTTGACTTAGATGTATCAAAGACTTGAGCATATTTAATAAGTAATAATTCAAATTGTTGTCTTACCCGTGTATTTTCAATATGTTCAACTAAATGTTTTATTTTGTCAAATACTTCTGGTGGTACTTGTTGATTTGTTCCATTAATATTACTTGTAGAATAATGACCACTTTGGCGAAGATGTTCAAATAATTGTTTCTTTGAGACGTATCGTTCATGACATGCACGGCATTTAATGTCAGGTGTTGTATATCTTTCTATTTTTTGTGATGGTAATAATGGTAATGATATAGATGCTAATGGCGGAAAAGAAATTGTACCAAGAATAACATTTGTATTAATATATTGAGACGATTCATTAGCATTAATCATTGTAATCCATGATACACCATCTTCAACTTTCAATAGTGCATGTGGTATTAATAATCTTTTTTTTCCAATAAGATCATTTGACGGTGTAAATATAACTGTATCAGCATTTTTTATTTTAACGCGTACAGGTATAATTATATTTTGTTCTGGTAAAAGATGAATACGATGAACTGGTAACACCTGGTAAGCTTCGTCTTCGTAAATTAAAAAAGGAACAGTAACAACATATGATCCTTGACGTTTACTAATACATTGTTTGGTATTAATAATATCAATACGATTTTGCCTGATCCAGTCATTTCCTAGTACAAGGCTCGTACATAAATCTATTGCAACTTCAGCTAAAATAAATGTTGGAATATTTCTAATATTGATTTTTAATTTCACTAAACCGATTGTACGTAATTCAGTATTATTTGCTGTTCGATGTATTTTCTTTTGATATATAATGTGTGGTTGACGTATTAATTTTCGTAATGTATTAATGTGAATAATGGAATATGCTGAACCAGTATCAATCATTGCATCAATAAATGTATTATTAACTTTAAGTCTAACAATAAGTGGTGTAGATGGATTTTGTTTATTAACAGAGACAGTACCATCATTAGCTGTCTCTGTTAATGGTTTAAATGATGTCGACAATATTTTTGTATATGTCCTGTTTGTCCACACCTAAAACATTTCTGAAAATTTCTATTATCATTATTATTAAAATTTTCTTGTTGATAATATCGTGATGGTTGACCACGTTGTTGTTGATATGAAAATGTACCATTTCTTGTTTTTTGTTGTTGTTGGTTTTCGACTGGTCGATTCAATGAATGATTAAATTTTTCAGAATGTGTTCGATAAGGTTGTTGATGATATGTTAGATTAAATTGTTCACGTGGTTGAGATGCAGCAACCATTGAATAATCATTTGATTCAAATTTATACGTTGGCTCAGGTAATTGCATAGATCCATTTTGTTTACGGTGATGTGTCATCACCTTTTCACTAGATTCATAATTCTTCGCTTGTATCATAAATTGCTCTGGTGTTTGAACATTCAATGGTAATAATTTACATTTTAATTCCTCACGAAGACCACCAACTAATTTTATTGTTTTATCAATAGCAGACATTTGTGGATCATATTCTCTACATAGTTTATCTAATGCATAATAATAATCGTGTACTGATTCATCAGATCCTTGTTTACGTTGATTTATCTGTTCGGCTAATAAATGTGGATTTTGTGTACGTTCAGGAGGAGGAAATGCTCGTTCAAATGTTTGACGAAAGACCATCCATGTTCCATACGGTCTTTGATTATCGCGATACCAATCAAATGCAGCGTCCTCTAATTTAATTCCAATACGAGATAAACGATCAGCATCATTAACATTAAATGCATCAAAAATTATTTCAGCACGATCACACCAATCGCGTGAATTATCTTGTGAAGTACCATGAAACGATTTAATACTATCAAAAGCTCGATTTATTGCATCACCCATAATTAATTTTGCTTGTTGATTATCGGTTGTTTGAACAGGTAGTGTTGCTGTGGGAGAATAATGAGATCGAAGGTTGTAATGCGATGCCAGTTCAAAAAAAAAAAAAAAATTTTTAAATTAATGTCTTCACCATTAATGTCTAGTCTAATCTTCAGTTCATTGGTTCAATTTTTCCAAGTTATTGTTAACGATCTGAAGATCCCGGGTCACGGCACCAGTGTTACAGAGGCCCAACTGTAACTTAATTCAATTTCACAACGTAGAAAATACACGTTTCTATTTTCCAATCTGATCCGATCGTGATCTATTCTATTTTATTAGTCTTTTTTTTTCCTATTTATACCGTACAACACATACACACACAAGAGAGAGAGAGAGAGAGAGAGAGAGAGACAGACAAAAGCAGAAAGAAGAAAAGACGTTTGTTTCTTCGACTAGACTATTTTGTACATAAATAGGATGGTGCATCATTCTATAAATGCACTTAATTCTAGTCGAAAAACAATGCCACTATTTACATCGTCACGCACGGGAGGAAAGAAGACACAATAGAGAGAGATGAAGAGAGAGAGAGGAAAGAAATAATGGAAAAGAACGGTTGAAGTATGTGCATCTCGAGTTGGATTGCACATACAAGAAACACACAACATACAAAAAAGGAAGCAAGAACTAAATAAATAAATAAATAAATAAGGTTTGTTAGAGTACTCTCTAACAATGCATATAACTGGCTCAAGTGTGGTACCGAATATGTTGACGGGCGATATCATGCTAGTGTTGTTGTTACTGTCAACGGTTGGTCCGATTGGAGTCTTGTTCCACTTGAGAAACCCCCAAGTCCATTTCGATTACGAGTCAAACGCGAGAGAGAAGCCATTCATGTTGAATATGGAGAAGGTGAAAATGGTCCATTCAAAATTATGCGACTTGCTTATTTGCCACTGGTAAAGAAAACACGTACAATTATGGTTGGCATTATGTGCGCTTCGCCCAATGAGGAAAGTGACGGTTTTGATGTTATTTTTGACCAATTGAATATAACAAAACATTCATAACATAATGGTCGAACGAAATAAAAACAGTAGATGTTTGAAATCAGCGAAATCTGATGAATATGTTGTAAGAAACAAGCAATTCTTATTCACGTATTTTTATTCAACTCTAATTGTTGTCTTCAAAATAATTTTGCCTTTCATTTCATGAAAGCATTCACACAGAATGATCTATTTTGTTCTCTACAAGCAGTTGACATTATAGCGAGTTCATTGAGAAATTGATTTATATACGAATCACATGCAAAGTAGTAGAAATGCCGAAAGTATGATGATGTATATTTCGTCGCTGGATATGAATGACCAATTACATATAACGCCAACACGTATGAACGATTAGCAGACTAACAACAATTGCTTAATGCATATGAATATGAGAAATAGTCAAGTGAGAAATGTGATAATAAGGGTGTGGGTGCGTCAAAACATCGTCATAATCAATGAATCCCAATAAATCCTTAATAAATAAATAGATTCAGGTTAGCCCTCGTGGTAATATACCATGCATTTGAGAATGATCGTTTTCTTTCTTTATTTCATAAAAGAAATATAATCAATTAAAAGACGAATCATAGAACTTATATGTCATCTTACTATTGATATTTAGTTTTATTACAGAATTCAAGGTTATTGATCCACTGATAATGGAATATAAAAAAAAGCATTTGATTAATGCTTTATTTTGTGAAACTGGCATATATTTTCTAGGAAAACGGTGAGTGTAAGTTTTAAGGCAAGGTTTTTAGTGGCTCCCCGCCCAACCCGCCCCCTCTAACAGGTAAATAAATTCCCTACTCACATCCAGTAGTTCGGCGAACTTTTGTGTTAAATCAACAAGTCGACTCTAGTAAATTATTCATATCGATGTCACTTACTCGATATTTGGTGACATCTCGAGCCCATTTCATGTCATGTTTATCGCTTCGCGTTCGTTTAGCAAGATGAATAAATCACGAACCAAAATCGAAGAAAAAAATAACAATGTTCACAGAGAAACAAGTGAAACTTTCGAGAATACTAATATAAATGTATACATGGAATGCTTTCTGTTTAAATTTCTACTTTTTAATCAAGAGAAAGTTCGATTATTCAAAAATATTCTTTAATATATGTAGAAAATGAGTTCTGCGCTACCAATCTCATCAACTGTCCGAAAGAGATCTAATACAAACATCATTACCGGTAAAAAATTAATCAGTGAGTCAACTGTTCTCGTATGTTCTTTTTATTATATGAAAAGCGCTTCTGTTTTAACAATAATTTTTACTAGGCTCAATGAACTTGGTTTCCGTTACGTTTTTTTCATTATAGTTCGACTTCAAATGATCACTACTTTTGTGATATAGACTAAAACATGTAACAACACTTATCTAAGTGTTGATTTCAGTTTATTTCTGATGGTGACATTTTTTTAAATTACTCGATTGTGCATTTTCTTTGTAGAGTCGGTTTCTTTTGTATGTCAAAGAATCTGAAGAGCCAGCAGCTGTTAAAAACAATTTTTTCAGCAATTAGAAAATATCAAATTTGATGACAAAGAAACTGACGGTTATTTTACTTGAATTTCCCAACTCAAACAGTGCGGTCCACATACGGCCGTTTACAATGAAAATACGATAAATAAACGGACTGCATGGGTTAAAATACTTGATGCAGTTACACGGCCGTAAATTAGCCGTTCTTTCATCGTTTGCTGACGAAAAGCAGACCTTCAACGTATTCCGTTTTGATCGACCAGGACTGTCAAGCCTGATGCAGCGCAACCGCAGATTGTTATCAGTCACGTGTTACAAGGTCTGCCTGGAGTAAGTGAATGATCAAGATGAATTTGCTCTGTGTCTACTTTTCCATGTATATATATATATTATAATATTTGTTTCAAATTTTTCTGCCGTTATTTATTCGATACTTGTATAAAAATGACATTTTATCTTCTGTATCCTGTCCTTATTTTCAAAATATAGCTTTTACCAGGGATCTATGCCATAATGATACCTGCCTTTTGAATTCATATTGATCTCACGAAAAGGTCTCAGTGCGGCTAGTGAAATGTAAAAATGGTTCAAGGTGCGTGTGTGGGCATAGGTCTTATGCTAAGCAAGGCAGGCCACACCATTTTTTGTTGTCAATCGATCTTTACGATGATCGCGTGTATTCGAACTTTGGGCCTGTATATATTGATTGTCTTCTTTCATAGTAATCCCACAGAAGATTTTCGTTCCATGGCTACGTTGGGCACAGACCGTCGTGCAGGAGGAGGTAGGAACGTTGTCGCTCACGATCTGTGCGGGTGTGAATAAGCAAATATATGAATCCACCACCCACATCCTAATCTCTCATTTTGTATTCGATATAAAGCAATGTTCAAATAATGAATTTTTATTTGTCCCACAATATATATTGACAAAAGAAAAAGAAAAAGAAACAAATTAACAGCAACGCCGAGATGAATTTCTATCGCAATCATCTTCTGTTGTTGATGATTGAAGTGAAACCTGAGTAGCTGGTGCACGTCGCATCCGTTTTAATTTTATTGAAGATCTTTCATCTAAACTACTACTTTCTTTAATTTGATCTAATAACAATTCATTCTGTAAAATCCGTAATATTAATTGTTTAAATATGGATGAAATATTGTCGCCTTGTAATGCAGATACATGATGAATAGGCATTTGATGTAATGATGCAAAATTTTCAGCACGTTCTAAAAATATTCTTCGATAATCATCGTCACAATGTTCTTGAAATAGATCACTTTTGTTGCATACAAGCATAGATTCTACATGATCTTGTCCTTTCAATTGTAATTGTTTATACCAGTAGAGTTCTGCACGTTGAAGTGTATCAATATCTGTTGAATCCGTAACTATAAGTGCACCATGGCAATGCCGAAAATGATTATCACAACATGATTCATATCGTTCCATGCCAGGTATATCCGAAAGTTGAATTATAACAACATATTTATCTTCATATAATTGATCCAAATAAAAAAACGAAATATCCGCTGCTACAGTTACTGTAGAATTTAAATGTACAAATTTTGATTGTAAGCCATATTGAAGATATCTTGCAAGTGTTGTTTTACCTGCATTCGAACTGCCAAGAAGACTAAGACGAATATTCAATGTAGGTTTATTTTTCCATGTATTAGGCATACGACTGTAACGAATATTAAATGTTAAAAATTGATTTGACGATAGAATTGTATTTTGTTGAGCACAATATTCTTCAATAGCACTTTTTAAATTAAAATTATTTACAAAACGACGATCATTCAAGGTCTTATTTGTCATTGGTGAAGTGTTATTATCGGTTAACCAACGTTCTATTGCATCAAATTCATATGAATGACCCTAATTATAGAAATAATATTAAATATCTTATTTCAAACCAACATTAACTTACATCTTCAACAAGTAAAACGGGATTTTGCATAATTTCTCTGGTTATTGGACAAATAAAATCACGGGGTACAGATAATGTATCATGACTGGTCATTGATTTCATTATTTATTTTAATCGATGTTTATGTCTTGAAGAAATACATAGAAGAAGAAAAAAATGCACTTTGTGTTTATTACTTTTAAACGTAATTATATCGTAGAGGAAAAAAGTTACAAAACATATATGTATATATTTTTTTGCAGCCATGTATCACGTGATGCATCTGTCGATACTATCTTTTTCTTTTCTTTTCTTTTCTTTGATTACATAGACATATTTTCAATGATATACATTGAGGACGTGATTAGTAAAAGAAATTTTTTTGTTATAAAAATTGCATAGTCAAACGTCACAGAAAGAATTTAAATCATCATAGTTTAAGTCTTATATCAACTATACTAACATTGCTGACGATGAACAATTATCCATCTGACAGTATTGAGGACAGAGATATAGAATTTGATCATTTTGGCATTCATGTTCAAGTATAAAAGCACAAATTTCTGTTGGTTCTTGTTCACAAAGTACTAAATAGGAAAAAAAGATTGTTATGAGAATAATAAACAAATAAATCTTCTATACGTGTTTCACAATTATCTCCAACAAACGCCGGTAGACAAAGACATAGACAATCTGCATTTAATCTTCCACCATGGTGACATTGTTTATTTTTACAAAATTCTCCGAGGATATCTGCTATTGAAGTTGTTCTATTTATGAATTCATCATTTTGATCTGTAGTTGTTGTAGTAGAATTAAAAAGTTCACTCTCATTTTGATTGATCACACTCGTCATCCATGAGAATGGTGGTATAGGAAATTTTGGTAATAATTTCATATAGTCTAGTAATTCATCTTGGGTATTGTTGGAAAAATTCGATGGAAATAATGATTGACTATTATTAATCAAATTAATAATTGCTGTTGCTTTTAATTCAGGAGAAAGGTTATTACCATTTAGATCTAGATCTATATCAGAATTTAAATTAGTACTTGGTGAAAGAAATTCTACACCATCGGACTCATTGATATCTTCACTACTATTTTCCGTATCATCATCATCATCATCATCGTCGTCGTCGTCGTCGTCGCCGACGACAAGCAAATTTTCATATTGTGTAATAGTTGGTGATGAACTAGTATTGAGTATTATCCAATCACGCTCATCGTTTTCGCGAGTTGATAATATGGATGTTGAAGATGAGATCATTGAAGTATTATTTGAATCTCGTTTATTGAATGGTATTTTTGATTTGACAGTAGTCAGTCGAGTAGAAGGAGTAGTAAAATCTTTTAAAATAGCTGAAATTGCAGATTCCACAGGAGCAAAATCTAAATCCGGATCATCCCATATGACATTATCATGATAAATATCAGTTGTTGCTTTGGTTGTTGTTGGAATCGCTTCATTAGTAGGAAATCGAACAATAAATGGTAACTGATTATGATAAATTCCTAAATATGAAAATAATTTTTATCAATCGATATTCAAGAAGAGTTTATACTAACCCATGATAAAATCAAAGTTAATTCCGTTGCATCTTTAAAATTAGAAAAAAACTATATTGAATATTTTATTTCGAGAATTTCTTACAGTGATTCTTGACACAGAAATGCATCAGTACCCAATAATTTTTGAATACCATTTTTAGCATGTACTTCCGGCCAAAATATTGAACAATCTCTTGTAATTACTTCAATACGAATAAGAAAATCTTTCGTTTTTCTTGTCTATGTAAATTTACTTACAATTAAGATCATTAGGATTTCGAAAAATAATACAGCTCGATGGACATGGACGTATATAGTTCGATGCATAATGGGGATCTAAAAAGTCTCCACAACCTTGAAAGCGTGCCGTACATGAATAACATTGCTGCAGAGAAGGAGATAGATGCGGACCTAAAAATAGATCGATCATATATATTTCAATTGATTGCGCATCGGGAAAGTTTTTTTTTCTCGAATTCAACTTACCTGTGTGTAGAAATGACGGATTATTTGCTGCCAATGAAAATAATTGTTGAGATAATAAAACAAATGGATTATTGATAATTTCAGTTTTTATCATTGAGACTTGTTGTTGTTGTAGTTGTTCATAAGTACCATTATTACATAAATAGGAATCACAAAAATAAGCTGGTACGCCTGGACTTATATCATGCCATCCAGTTGATTTAGATGTCATATGTCCATATGTCCACGAGCATCCACGTACAACTGAAAGATCTTCGTTTCGAAATAGTACACATTGGCCATTGCATGGCTCCGTATAATATTGAAGAACAGCTGTATAGATAGCTGAATCCGGTTGATTATTACCAGCACATTCGGCGAGCGTTCTTTGCGAACATAAATAGCAGCGACCTGCGATACCATGGACAACAAGTTGTCTTGATAGAAAATTTATCAAAACAAAAGCGAACAAATTTTGTTCAATAATCATCATTTTTCTATTGAATGACATAGGTTTACATCTGTAGAAAAAAATAAAACTTCGAAGGATGTTCAATAAGGCATCTTTCGACATAAACTCACGTTTTTATATATTCGTTTATAGTAGTTGAATGTACAAGCTTATAATCATTTACTAATTGTTCAAAACGTGTTTAGATACCGAGGTCATTGTCTACATGAAATAATAGAGAATGGTCATCGGTAAGCCTTTTCTTATTTATATTACAAGTGATCGAGACACTTCGTTATTTAATTTACAATCTCACGTATTTGTATTCTCAGCAAACATTTGATTAATGAGCACAGAGAGTACAAGTATATGAATCGATAGAAGTCGCTCAATGACAGTAATATTTATCAACCATTCTATTTGAAAATACATAAACCTCTAAATAAATCAACTTCTGCAGTTAGTCTTACAGAAAACTATTTAAATTGCCATTTCTTCTCATAAAATGGCCACGAGTGAAAATATTTGGTCGACATTTATTACGACCAGACAAATATCATCAAATTATTATACAATATCAACATGTCTCACAGATCTTCTACATCGTTGTTCACTAAATTCGACATTATTTTATAATCTTTCTCAAACATTATTTTCTTCGTCATCGATTGATCAAATAAAACTTCTAAATGATTATTCGAATATTATAAAAACTATATTAAAGTGAGTCAAGAGATTTTTTAATTATAGGTAAGAGCTAAATGATAACGATATGTATAGTTCAATTTTCGGTAGTGGCTATAGACATGAATCTCATTCACATGTTGTTATTTTATCTGTGTTCATCCTATGACTCATATTTATACAAATTGAATTTAATATTTTAGACAAAATCCTTTACATACGAATATCCTACAAAATATTCGTCGACTTTTTCGTTCCGATCCATGTCTCAAAGAATTATTTTCAACCATTGTTGATGAACATTGTCAATGTCAGCAATGCGGCTGTAGAATATTGAATAGGTAAATTTCCAAAGTTCCTATTTTGATTCATTGACAAGATTCTAAATTGTCAATTTTATTTTCTAGTATTACTGATGTGATTCATGATGTTGATGAAATAAAATCAACATTATTCATTGAATCGAATCAAATCTCTTGTACATGTTTTCGATGCAACGATCCGAATCAATTAAAAACGTCATCATTTAAAAAGTCAGTAAGATTTCTAAAGCGAAATGCAATTGAAATCTGTTGTTGAATTATAGATTGAGCCCATGTTTAGCTTTAACAGTAAATCGATTGCATATTAATGTAAACGACCGTTTCATTCATACACAAGGTGTTACTTACGATATGATTTATATTATTGAATTTGACGTAACACTGCATTCCATTTTAAATGTCTATCAACGTCAAGGTTAATTTTAAAAATTTACATTTTTGTTCTTGTAAAAATTTTTATTTTAGATATCGACTTTATGATAGTCGATGGAAACGATATATCCAGTCGACGATCAACCATTGATAGTCATGGGAAGTTTCTTACACTTTGGATGAGTCGAAAATGTTATCAGTTAGATTTAACATTAGATAGTGATAAACTTATGCCAAGTCAAAGTACCAATTCTAATAGTTTTGATGAACTAGAATCAGTATCCCCGGCAACAACAGCCAGTGAAGGAACATCGGATGATAATGATACCACGACTAGTATTTATTTAACATTATTTCAGTCAAAACTTGAACACGATCATACCGTTAATTCACTAGCACTTCATAATCGGTCATTAGAGCAATTATCACCAACTCGAAAATCTAAACGAATGGAACCATATACAACAGCATAGACATTCCTAGTGTTTTTTTAATTTTGTTTTAGCTGAAAACTATTTTGTATATCATTTTTATTAAAAAAGTTGAATCATATTGATACATTCATTAAAGTGAATAGAACAGAAAAAAAAGAGAGACGCTTTCTAACAAAGTATTTGTATTTGTTATGGTGATGTCGCTCATCGACACAATCGTGATTATATCTCTATTGGTATTTTCTCTTTTCGTTCTGGTTAGTTTTCATTCATTCCTATAAAATTTAGATCATGTGTATACATAGACATAAGGAGACAAAGAGAGATTAACTCTAACAGTATGTTTTCAGATTATGGCCAATGCCGACGATTTTTGTCAATATGCAAGATTAGGCCAAACGGTTAAAATTCAAAAATCTTTACAATCACATAGTAAGTAATTTAAATTGAATCAAACTCTACTCTTGAGATATTAAGAGTTTTAAAACGTTGTTCCGGTTCCACAGCGGGTGATTCTAGTTTTCCACGTCTCTATTTAGATAAATGTATAGAAAAAGTTAAACGACAAATATTCTCTCTCATTGTTTAACTAATCTGATGTCTAGTCGTCTATACAAATTAGTCTATCTAAAAGATTCATTAGAATTAAAATCATCATTATTATTTTTTCCTTCGGATAGGTATTGACATCAATGCACTTAATTTATATGGTGAATCAGCATTATCAACAGCTACATATTACAATCAAGTTCTTTGTGTTGAATATCTCTTAGCAAATAAAGCCGATCCAAAATTGTATGTTATTTTAGTTTTCAATAAAATTCGATTTCTATTATTCGTTTTCTTTTCCTTTTTCAAGACGTCTTTCGGCTGGACATACAGCAATTCACATAGCTTGTCGATTGGGTAATGTTCCGATTTTACATATGTTATTATCGATCAAAAAAAATGACGATGCAGATGTTAAAGACGAACAACAACGAGAAGATAAACATGTTTATGAATGTCTGAAAATGAAAGATGCTTCGAATTTAACACCTATTCATTGGGCAGCAACACAGGAATCTGTATCAAAACGACAAAAAATGTTTGCTTATCTCGATAAACGAATGCCCGGCGTACTCGATAGTCGATATAATCTTGATTGGTTTAATTCATGGACAAAATCACATGAATGGGTGCTGGAACGGAAAACTAATATGTAAAAAAATCCAACATGAAAAAAAGAGCTTTTTTAATTTTCTCTACGAATATTTCAGTCCTTTAATTCAAATTTCACCTAAATTCACAAATCCCGATCATACTTATCAACAAGACGAATCATCTGAAATAACTTCACTGGATATGACTCCTAAAGTATTCATAAATAATTATGAACGTACTCCGCGAGTACCATTAACAGCAACAACAAACAATCAAAAATCATCGAAATTACGCGTTCCACATGTTCAAGTGAGTCTTCATCTTTTTTTGAAAAAACATAATCTGATTATTTCAATAGACTGAACAATCTTCACGGACAACTAATCTACCGCCCACACCCATGACTAGTTGCAAAGTAACAGTCACTTCAGTATATCACATCCCTAAACGTGAACAAAAACATCTAATACCACCGAAAATAATCGAACCTCGTGATACGCCAGTACGACCAAGTTTTCTCATTAAAATGCACCATTATATTTTTCTTTGCATAGCTCTCATCACAGAAGGTGCCAACAGAATTAAATCATATTAATGATCATTCATTACATCCACATTCTGAACGTTTTACTTATCGTGCTCGTCGAGTTCCAATTGAGCCGACAATTGAATTTCCTCCACCACCACCAATAACAACCGATATGGACGATACTGAAAATGGAACCAATCAAGAACATGATTATGAAGATGTCAATTCGCCGTCATCAAGTAAACGTCCATCTCATAATCTTCTTTCCAATATAGTTCCATCGATAGCAACTCCTTCAACTGATCAAAGTAGTCAACAATCAACTAAACACATAGCTTCATCATTTGGTTTTGACACGTGCATTGAACCAAATCATATTGTTGATACAACAATACATTCGAATACTGATACATACGCACAAAACGATGAACAAGTCGAAATTGAATCAACATCATCCGACGATGACGATGGTAAAAGTAATCAAGTAGATTACTTATGCAAATCAACTTCAACGTTAGCCATAGCCTCACCCGGTGCACATACTTATTATTCATAATAGTATTTCAGTTTTATTTTTTTTTCTACATAAAAATCATGTCAGATATTTTGTTTTTGTAACATACACTTTATGAACTACGTTTTTCTTTTATTGAAATATAAGTATGATAGAACATAGATCTCGAAAATTTCTATGAATAGAATGTTAGAAAAGTCGAGAAAAAACAACTATAACAATCGTTACCCAATAATCTATCAATTAAGAATAGATTAAACTACATGATTATTTTCAAAATGAAGTTAATTGACCGAACCGATAGAAAAACAATTTTGTTCGAATTTCAACAAACACAGAAAATGAAGCATACTGTCTTTTTTGTTCTGATTTAGTTTAAATTTGAATCATTTAGTCCGACGATGTGCTCCAATGTTTCAAGAGTATTCTTAAAAGAGCTGTTCTAGCGATTGCGAACATCACTTTGGGAAGTATAATTTGCTTCCGAGCTGAAGAAAATACTCCCAGGCTTTATTTAAATCATATAAAAAAAGAAAGTCTCTCTTTACTTCCACCGGAAATATCTTGTTTATGCCTATTAAGAATCTAATATTCATTGCATATTTTATACGATCAGAACCAAATGTTGATTTGCAATCTTGTGAACGCGATGAGTTGAAAATTGTTTGGATTAAATATATAAGTAAATCTTTTTATTCTATAAAATTCTTACTGAACAATAAGAATAGACTGATGCAAACTTATGACAGGTAATCATATGAAATATGTATAATTAGTCGAGCAAGAAAAAAAAGAAGAAGAGCTTTTCTGTTAGGTAAAAGGCTAGGAATATACATGAAAAATAGCTTCATATTAAATAGGGATAGAAAGAGGAAGAAAAATATAGAAGAATCCCAGTAAACATAAAACTTTTCATATATATATATATTTTTTTTTGTTTTCTTTATTTTGTCTTTCCTTTTGTTTGTATCTGATCAATATAATCTTGATCAAAATAAACAACAGTTATTGTCATATCATCACGTATCGAACGTGGATTAGGAAACGTTAATACATCAGATAAAAGTTTACTATCGAACTGTCCTTTTGACGTGTACGCAAGTGCTTGACGTATTAAATGCGTTGCTGAATTTTGATCGATCGGTTGATTTTTAATTGCTTGTTGCCGTGCTAGTAGTAATTCATTGATGTCTTTTAATTTAAGCGTTGTTGTATTACCAGTTTTATGCAATACGAATCGATCAAAACTTTGTATGCCTTTTTGATGATTGAATATAAGTTGTACAACTTTTTCCGACGATAATAAATCCCAAACACCATCGGTAGCTAATACAATGAATTTATCTTTTTTCGTTAATTTATGTTTTCTTATTTCGGGTCGAACTGTTAAATAGGGTGGCGTTAAATAAAATTGCGGTATAGCATCGCCTTTTTTATAATACGGTTGTAAATATTCACGAAGATAATTAGCTGGCCATTTAAAACGTATATCACCAAATGCACGAAATGGCATCAATAAGCCAAGCAAACGATCACTACGTATGATGGAATTTGCTTCATTCGATGGATGTTCACGTACCACACGTTTTACTTCAGCTTGATTACGTATGTTATGATCGTGTGAAAGATCAATAACTGCTGGATTACCTTCATCGTCAACGGTGCCTGAAAAACAAAAAGAAAGTGTTCTCGTTTTTTTCTTCTTCTTTTTCACTGGTGAATATAGTCAAAAACCTTCCCATCGTAATAATTACGCTCTTACTCGGAACACGGAACGCTTATTTCTGGTCCCACGAACAACGCCGGTTCTATTGGTTACACGCAGAATGAAGAAAAAAGCAATAAATTGCATTATAAACTGTTCTTTGTATAGCGCTTGCAGAAAACGGACAACAATGCGTTTCTCTATTCCCTTGTCTAACAATCTGACTGAGTTTTAAGTTCTGACAATTATTTCCAACTAGTTCAGCGAGAATATCGTCTTTAGAAATTAATTTTGACAAGCGTAACACTCTACATTCCTTTTATCTAATAAGAAAAAAAAAGCACGCAAGACGTACTCTCTCTCTCTCATCTCATAATGAAATTGCATTGGATCTTGTTTCTATTCGTCTGCTTAATTTTGCTTTTCTCCTCCCAAAAAACTCCAGATCTCTACCGTAGGCTAATTTTAACTTACCAAGAATAGCTCTTGCATCACCACAGTTCGCTACATAAAGATCATCATCTTTAACTAATGCAACACATGCACATGAACCAGCTGTACAAATTTGTAATAAATCTTCATCAACATGTTGTGTTTCAATAGGTATTGCTTCAGCACATATATCTCGATCTAATTTAACAAATGCACTTTCTAATGCAGCCACGATATCGGTATTTTCATGATCGAAATTCGTGTAAAGATCTTCAATATGTTTCAATAAATTCATTTGATGCATTTCTTTTATTTTTGAATTTCGTGTATCTTTATATGGATTATAATATGAATGAAGTAGAAGTGATGTTATAGCATTCAATGTTGTTTTATCATGAGCGTGATTATGAATATGACTTTGATGAGTGCTCACTAATCGTTTCGCTTCTTTCATTATTCTTCCGAGATCATTGGGTGAGTGTAATGTTACAGAAATATATTCAAATAGACGTTGACCAACGGCATCTGAACACCATGGGCCACCGTGTCCATCGAATACACCAAATAGATACATATTTGAATCAACTGAATGAATACGTGCTTGAGCTTGTCGATCCTCTAGGCAGTATGAATAGTATTTTATTAATAAATCATAGGAAAGAAATTTTCAATATTTGAATCCTGCTAACACTTCATCATGGGATTACTTTATAGTTGTCTCTCCGACATAAAAACAAAACATACCCGGTGGATTATTAGCACCGAGATAATTAACTTCATAATATTTTACTGGGCAATTTGCTTCAAGATCAATACTGGCTTCATGCGCTCGTAATATGCCTGATGCTTCCTGCGAAGATAATCGTTGTTCATCGAATGGTGTTTCTTCTTGAAAACCTCCATCAATTGAATCACTATGATAACATACTTGTGAAATTATGCGAGTTCGAGCGAATGATAATAAATAGGATGTGTGTTGCAAGGAAAAACATGCATTATTCGATAGTATACGTCGAATCATTTCATTTCTAAAAATAAGAAAAAATAATTTATAAGAAATCAAAAATAATCTTTTCTCCTATGGAACTTGTATTAGATCTTATTTTTTTGTTGAGATCTCAATAAAAAAAAATAGCCTATCTTGACTACAAATGATTTCATCGAGCACAACTTCAATTGATCATGAATAAAATTTGTAGCTTATAGGCAAAACAGGCGAATCTATGCATCGAGACAAATAAAAACTGTTTTCATTTCTACATGATGGCAAACCTACAAGAAAACTCGATTTATTATTGGCTACCGACGAGAACGAATCATATTATTTCGGATGATAGCCATCCAGTAACTTGCGACATAAGAAAGAGAAAAGTCTCAAAACATTCCTTATAGAAAATAAAATAAAATACTCCAACATATATCAGATTTTGAATACGTCTACGATGTTGAATCTTGATCACCTGAGATAATGATCTTAATTGTGTATTTATAAATAATCTGTACGTATATATGGTGCATTCCCAATTTATTCTAACCGAACTATTTGAATATGCATACGGTCACCTAGACCTCTAGTATTCCTGACTCAAAAGCCAAGATAGACGTAAGCAAAACTTATTTATAGTTTGGCTGTTTTTACATGTTAATGATACGAGCATGCAAAAGCGATTGACAGTAATCTGTCTAATACATATATAATGTAAAGGTCAGCTTTTAGGCTTCTAGTATTTTCCGACTGACTAACTACATAACTTGATGTCGAAAGTATGAATTAAAAATTTGTAAAGAGAATTGATAGAATTTCTTTTAAATGTTGACCATAACAACAATTTCATGAGTGTTTTCTTTTATTATTCATTGGTCGAAATTAACTTTTTGACGCAGTGGAATCTTTTGATTATAAAACTTGAAAATTTTCGTCATTAGTTGCCAAAATCTTATCAACACCAGTGTAAGGCTGATGGTCTCAAAAAATTAGCACAACTCCAACGCCGAGTCGCCATAGTAAAAACGTTTCGCCTCTATATACCATCACGCGCGAATCTTATTGGACGAGCTATCGCTTGCAGAAAAGAACGAGAAACGAACACATACTTATCTTCCTTACTACTGATTATTGTTTATTTTTGACGATTGTCTTTTTAGTTTGATTGATTCATTCATTTAATATCAGCATAAAAATTTTACAGATTTTTTATATTCCCAAAGAATGGCTAGTAGTTTTCCATCCCGAACAGGTTCTACCATGCACATAAATATCTCATGTTCATTTTTATGTATTTCTTATTTATTTAGTTGTTCCAAGAAATTTTAAACTATTAGAAGAACTTGAAGCAGCTCAAAAAGGTCAACACGAAGGGTAATTCTCCTTGATAATGTATAACTAATAAAAATCTAATCGGATTTTTTTTCCCGTTCTATTCTTAAGATCGGTATCATGGGGTCTTGAAGCTAATGATGACATGTCATTATCCCGGTGGGTTTGCATGATTATTGGACCATCACGTGTAAGAAGAAGAAAATTCTTTCGGATTGATTCACTGAGTCTTTTCTTTTAGACGCCTTATGAAAATCGCATTTATACTTTAAAAGTTTATTGTGGTGATCATTATCCTGAAGAACCTCCAGTCTTTCGTTTTCAAACACGTATAAACTTAACTGGTGTAGCTGCGAATGGTTCAGTAAGAAGATCTTAATATGATCTTATCCGTCTTAAATCTTAGTGTTTTTGTTTTCGCTTTAGGTTGAATCAAAAACATTTCCAGGTCTTCGCAACTGGAACCGAGACATGACTCTTCATCAAGTATTAAATGAAATACGAGCGAGTATGTCATCGAAAGAGAATGCAAAATTATCTCAACCATCGGAAGGAGCAGTTTATCCATCTTAGTTATTATAATTCATAGAGAAGAGTCTATATACGAACGATTTTTTTTGCTCCAGCTTTTTTTTGTTCATATAAAAAAATTTACCAAACAAACAATCTTTTTTTCTTCTTTTTTGTGATATCTTCTAAGCTTCTTCGCAACTATCCTTAATCATTTGTTCTAGAAAAAAGAAATAATGAAATTAATTTTAACATCATTTAAAAAGACCAATTCTGTAAATCCATTGTCCGATGATGACCATCGGATTCATGAAGGTTTATCATACCAAGCAACTATACCACATTTCCTTAATGCAACATCATTATCCACTGATCACGGTGCAATTCTCTATTGGCAACCAACAGATTCAATTAGTGATAAGGATCTTAGTGATTACATTGATTATGCTCATGGAAAATATCGTATGAATGAAGAACAAGCATTAGCAATCCTACAAATATGTGAATATAATATTTCCAATAGTAAATTACTCATGGAACAATACCGACCGGACATGGGTCGATGGACTAGTGAAGAAAAATTTTTATTCGAACAAGCCTATCAATATTATGGAAAAGTATTTTCAGATTTTAGAAAAATATTACCGAAGAAAAGTATTGCTGAACTTGTTGATTATTATTATTCTTGGAAAAAAACACGTTTATATAATAGCTTAATGGATAAACATGAAAAACAATGTAAATTCATGCCTTATGACATCGAAGATGATCAGATAACAAATACAAGGTTAGTTGAAAAAATAAATCATTCTATAGAGAAAATTTTTTGGGACTCAAGTGTAAAGCATATCCCGTTGATTTACTACTAAGCTAATGTAAGTTGAAATAAATCTATAATTATGGCATCATCACCTGTTTGCTTATGTCTGTAACGGGAAACCGCAAAAAATCTCAGTAGAACAGATACATCTGATCACTTACTATAGCAAATGTATGTGTACTATGTAATAAATTAGGTGAACCTTAACTTGTCGACAAGACGGGAGAATATCCTCATCCATTGATGTGCACCCTATATTCGAATATCGCCTTAACACTAGATAAATTGCCGTAATGACTACCCATTTCTATCTCTCTCTCTCGATAATCAAGATGAAGCATACCGTGCATAGGTTTCGAAATGTAAACTTATAAGAACGAAAAAATATCATTTTCTAATATTTCTGTTTTTATTTTTCGAATTAGAGATTTCAATAATCGTTCGGAATCGACAAGCGATGACGGTACGATTGAGGACCAAGAATGTTCTAATTGCGAAATAACTTCTACACCAATGTACTCAACTCCCAAAGGTATTCTTTGTAATGAATGTTTTATTTATTGGCAAAAATCTAGTTTAATGCGTCCTGAATTATATCGAAATAAATCTTCATTGAAAAAACTCAAGCAACCACCGAAAAATATGTGCCTTGATTTGAATAGTGTAAAATCCAACGAATCCATTGATCCTATTGAAAAATTAGAAGATGATATTCGTCACGAACTATCCGTCATACAATTACATAATCAATCTATTGAATATCTAACAAATCAATCCAGAGAGGAACTCGAAACGATGCATACTCCATTTCTCGAGCCGAATCGGAATTTAAACGATGCAATAACGTCAACATGGTCAACAGAAGAAATTCTTTTAGCCATTCAAGCATTTGGAAAATACGAGAAAGATTTTCATAGTGTATCACGTATTATTGGTCCAACAAAAAGTATTCATGATATTGAAAATTTTTTTGTTGAATATCGTGAACGATACCAACTTGATATGGTAATAGATATGAATTCAAAACCGATCGCCAATATGCAAGATGATACTGTTTTAATTAGCAGATAGTTAATTAATATTGAGATGAAGATTATTTTTTTTAGTATTTAAAATTAGTATTAATGTTTTCTTTTTAAATTTCAGATATGGAAGATATTATTCTATCGCTTGGATCCACATTTCATCGGATTGAAAAGTTTATTCTATGGCACAATCGATATACAAGTTTACTTGTATTTACTATTGGCCATGGGATTTTTTATGCTATAGCACGTGCTGGTTTGAAACCTTATTGTGCTATAACACTTGTTGTATTCATATTTCATGTACTTGATTGTATAAAAAAGAAACGAGTCTGTGATGAAGAAAAAAATCTTTCAGAATTAACAAAACTTATTCTACGTTCATATCGATATGTATGTAATACGCATGAAAAATTAAATATAATTAAAAGTGAAAATCGAGCGAAATATTCGATAATTATTATAATCGTTTGTCTGATACTTTCCTACATCGGAATGAAAATAAACGGATACTATTTGTCATATTTAGTTATGTTAATACTTTTTACATTGCCAGCTATTATTTATCATAAATTAATAACGAAATTATTGAAACGTTTAGCTCCTATTCTTGAACAACTCGATCAATCGATGTAAGTAGAAAGAAAAAAGAATAGAAATGACCTTGTCCGATTTCATGTCTCTTATAAAATTGAAAAAGAACCTATATCATTGGTATTGAGACGTCCGCCACTCGTCTTACTATTGACAATATTCATTAAAATGATAAAGAATATTCTTGTGAGGCCGCTAGAAGACAAAACATTTTCCTCATTCTCAATTCACACTTATGTGATTTCGAATCATTATCTCTGTTTTCGTATTAACTAGGGCATATCAACGACGTACATTAATTGATCGCAAGGATTTATTAGTTAAAATACAAACGCCCGGCTTAAATGAAGATGATGAAGATGAAGATATTAGTAAACTTAAACAACAACAACAGCAACAAGAAAAAATTAGAAAAAAAGATCGTTTCTTAATTATAAACGACGATGATGTCGATGAAGAAGAAAACGAACAAAATTTAATTTCAACAAGAGATGAAAGTAAACCATTATTCGATTCTCAATTACCAAATCCAAGTGGATCAAGTTTTGACGTACTTACTGATTCATCAGCATCGTCATCGTCATCGTCGTCAGCAGCAGTTGATGATGAAACAGCCCTTATCAATGAATTGTATGCTAATGTTGGCGATAAAATCGATGGTAGACAATGCATTCGCATAAAAGGTGCTGAAGTAAAAGTGAAAGGACGTCCAACTCAACAGCGATCAAACGTCATGACCACAAATTTCTTTCAAACCGTTAATGCAAGCGGAGAACCAGATTTAACTGGTTTTGACTTTCTTAATGACTACGATGATAAATCCTAATGGTATAAAAATTTTAAAAAAGATTCTTGTTTTTTTCCCGAGTATAAAAATTTTGTTTTATGTAACTAATCTTTTTTTTTTGCTAATGTTCAGTTATGTCTTGTTTGTTTCTGTGAACAGTAGATGTCTCATGATGATAAATAAATAATTGCAAAGAAAAACCAATTCTTTTTTTTTTTTATTGTTTTATAGATGTTCAAATGCGATTAATCAATAGATTATTTTCATTTCGACCAATCAAAACAATGACAACACAAAAAGTATCTTATTTGACGCAGCAACAAGCCAAAGATATCGATGAAGAACTTTTTAATGAATATAAATTTAGTGTTGACCAACTTATGGAATTAGCGGGTTTAAGTTGCGCAGCAGCTATTGGTAAGTGGAAAATTTTTGTTCGAGATTTTCCAACTCCGACTTTGATGGAGTCGGGTTTCGGAGGACCGTGTAGGGCTTTAGTTATCAGTCAATTAGAATATAATCAAATTCATATCAATATTTCAAGAATAAGCTATTTCAAATGGCTTCCGATCGTTGAACTGTTGTGCAATATTTATACGTTGATATTTTACCTATTGGAAGGTGCCACTTCAAAGATCTCTTGGCAATATTTCAATCTAGCTTATTTCTCTCACAATATATGTCATCTTCAAAAAGAAAAGGACACGCTGACTATCGAAAAAAAAATCTACCAGAAGCATTATCGTGATGGTGATCTCTACTTTCTACACTATTGTAGATGCATTTAAAAATGAAAGTATTCAAGCTTGAGAAGTGTCCTATAATGAATAAAGGCCTAAGGCTTTATGTATTGCTTACGTGTAACCGAAACAAATAAGAGGGAAATTCAATTCTTTTCATTACTACACTTTCATTCTTTTTATTTAGAAAAAGCATATAACGATAAGCATCAATATTCAAAATGTCTGGTCATTGTCGGTGGTGGTAATAATGGTGGCGACGGTCTTGTATGTGCTCGTCATTTAAAATTATTTGGTTATGAACCATTCGTCTTCTATCCGAAACGAACCGATAAACCATTGTATAGAAATCTTTTGCATCAATGTGAAAGAATGAATATTGAAGTTATTGATAAAATACCAACAGAATCAAATATTAATTTAATTGTCGATGCTATATTTGGTTTCGGTTTTGCCGGTGAAATACGTGAACCATACAATCAAATTCTTAAAGAAATAAAAAACTTAGAAAAAACAAAACCCATCATTTCGATTGATATACCAAGTGGTTGGGATGTAGAAAAGGGTCCAATTAATGATGATTGTATTCAACCGGAATGTGTTATTTCATTAACAGCACCTAAATTATGTATGAAATATTTTCAAGGAAAATATCATTTTCTCGGTGGCAGATTTGTTCCTAAAGCTTTAGAAGAAAAATATAAAATTAATCTTCCGAATTATTCGAATAGTGAACAAATCATTCAAATTTAATAATAAATCTATTGTCATCTGCTGGTGCTAATTGTTTTCTACTTTTAATTTTAGATGTCACCTGTATTAATGCTTGATCCTCGACAACCACTTACTATTGACTCATTTGAATTTCTTTATCAAGCAATTGCAAAAGATGTTAGTTCAATTTATGTACCCGTTCGAGATAGTTTAGCGCTTCTTGCTGGCTGTTATCTTTTGAAAAAAGTCTTACCATTACCGTATTATTTCTATAGGACAATAAAACTTTATTTTTTTCCTTATAAAATTAATTCTGTATTATTAAAAACACCTTTATCAACAAGCTCGAGTAGCAATGATTTATCTCTATCAGATTATGATGAACACTGGGCATTAATTAATGATTGTACGACACCAAGTGGTTGCGCATTTGCACAAAATTTAGCTGTAAATATAATTGAAAATATTTAGATTTTAATATTTATTCTATTTAAGAAACGAGGTTATAATCTAATATTAGTTTCAACGGAAGATTTTCAAGAAGAATTAAAATTATTATCGATCCATATTGAACGTACATTTTTAATTCGTACAGTTACAGTTATCTATCGATGGAATAGTCCACATCAACCACTTGAATTGACAACACCAGTAAGAACAGTGGCTGGAACATGGTCAACAGGTACGCCACCCACAGTTGGTCAAGTTCCATTGACAAATAAATTTCATCGTGCTGGATCATTTGATCGTCTTGAAACAATTGAAACCATTGCTCGCAGTGCAAATCTTGTTCTCTATATTAATTGTACACGACCATTCAATGATCTACATCTATCGAAAACGCTCAATCCAGCTGAATTTCAATCGATCGTTAATAATTATCTTATACCACCGATGCTATTGGCATATATTGTAAGTTTCGATGAGTGACGTCATCGAAGAAGTATTTTGAAGGTGACACGAAAAAAATTTTTTCTCTGAATAAGGACCGACAACCGAATCATTTAATTATGTCTGAAACGACATTCCCTTGCAAATACTTTCCTACGAGTTTTCCGTTCTAAGAACATCTCTTTAAACGAATAACAATTTCATTGCCATTTTTTCTCTTCTATCGAATAAAATAGGTTCTTCCGTATATGTCAATACGAACTCGGCCTGCATATCTACTCAATATAGTTCCACATCCATCTTGTCTCAACTCTACTCTACATCGTTTATTAACAATTTATTTCAATGCACGTAAAGACGAATATTCTAATAATGGTCTACTTCATTTTCAAACAGTTTATTTACCGATCCGTTGGATTCGTTCATCCGCGGATGTGTCTAATGTTGAAAATTTTCAAAAATATATTTTATCTAAACATGGTTTAAATGAAAATAATAAATTAGTATGGGGTTCATGTAAACCACAAGTGTATGTTGATACAATACTTAGACAATTGGGTCGATGCGATCGTAGCGCAGGCTATTGGTTGAATGCATTTCATTTAACATGTCTTTCAATTTTACCACGATGTTTTTCACATAAACTTATCGATTATTGGATTACTATGCAATGATCAGATTCGATATTCGTTGTCTCTTTCGTTCCCATGTGACCTATGAATTTTTTGTGACATATCAAATCAAAGAAAAAAGAAATATAAATCATCACAGCGATTCTTGTTTGTTTGTTTTTTTTTTGTTTTATTTGTTCCAGCATAGAACAATTAGCAGAAGATATGTATTTCTAGTTATAAATTTCATATTAGTTTAGAGATTGCTGTGCCATGAAATAATATTCTTCATTGGTTATTCGAATTGATAAATTTTAATATCTCTTGTATTTTATGTAGTAATAGCGAACCTAATACTTCAGCTGTATTCGGTAATCATATTTTAGCGGTTAGACGTTAAGCGCCCTTTTGAAAATCCCGATCGAGCCTTAAATGATAAAAATACAACTATTCTATCGAAATTCTAAGTCATCCCTTAGAGAGAAAACTCAAGCCACACGATGTCTATCCCCAAGAAAATCAACATTACATGTCATGAAGAGATATTCAAACAGATAAAAACAACAATTAACTGTGATGCAATTCTCTCAATCGCTATGTATAATTCTTTGAATCGTTTTTTCTATTCAAGATAAATTTATCATGGAACTTGATGAACAAACTCTTTTACAATCCCTCATAAAGAATTCGTCTGATGAGTCAGTGAATTCAGCTGAATGTACATCATATATTCCCTATCTTCAAACCTTATTTACCTATGATACCGAACGTTTACATCGTGAAGTAGAATATTTAAATGATGAAAAATGTTCAAAATCAACTCAAATGCTATCGTTAATATTCGACAATTATTCGACATTTATTCAAACTGCTGAATGTTCAAAAAATATTTCCAATGATTTTTCAACAATTGAAGAACGTCTCTCCGTTATACTAAAACAACTCGACGATTTTTCATCTTGTTGTCAAAAATTTGTGCGTGAAACTGAACAAACAAATCATCTACGCAAACAAAATATGTTTACTCTGCAAAAATATCCACAATTATTAGAAATTCTTGAGATTCCTCAATTAATGGACACATGCGTACGAAACGATTACTTTGATGAAGCATTAGAAATAGTGACGTATTGCAAACGTTTAGAAAGAAAATTTGCTCCACCAACAACGAAATTAACATTGCATACAAATTCACAAATACCCATTATAGTGCATATTGTGAATGACGTACGTTTATCACTGGAATATATGCTTGAACAATTAGTAACTCAACTTCAAACCAATATACAGTTACCGGCTTGTTTACGTATAATGGGTTTTATTCGGCGCATGGATATTTATAATGAACTTGAATTACGTCTTTGTTTTCTTCAAGCACGTACACACTTCTTGCATAAACGTTTAGGATTAATTCAACAGCAATATTCATCAATCAATATTGTTGACTATTATGAACATGCATCGAAATATATTGATGAAACACGTAATATACTTTTTGATATTGTTACACAGTATCGAGCATTGTTTAGTGATGATGATACAACATTGTATGTAACATTTAATCGAAATGAATTTATTAAAGAAACAAATTTATTTCGTTCGTGGCTTATTCATCGTTTAAGTGAATTTCTGAAAGTATTACAAGTTGATTTACAACATTGCAGTGGTAAGACCTAGAAAATTAGTGAAAAGATTTTTACCGGGTGGATTCGTCAGTGAAAAATTATTGAAGTAGACGACTGAGAAATTTTCGTTGTACCGTTTGAGAGTGAATGGTCAGCGATTTATATCCTTACTAATAGCCATTGATTCTCCACTTGAGAATGTACGCTACGTTTTGTTTACTAGCGACAGTCTGGAGCAGGTGTTTTTCTTAAAATTTTAACTCTCCTAGCAAGATTACGTTGATTTTGATGTATGAAAATATATTTAGGTTCACAATATCAACGACTTGAATCATTACTTGGTCAAGTGATGTATTTTGGTGCTTCATTTTCTCGATATGGTTTTGATTTTCGGCCATTGTTTATTCAATTTTTTTCTCAAACAACTTTAACAAATTTTCGAAATTCTCTTCATGAAGCCAATCATATTTTTGAACAACTACTTAATTCATTTACTTTTGATCAATATGTTCAATTAACAACATCGGATTCTTCAGCAACACCACTAAATCCATTTTCACCACCAATGATTCTTGTTAATTACACTCCATTAGCTGTTTATTGTAATGTTCTACTAACAGCATTCAATGATCTACGTCTTTGTTGTCCTCTATCAATCGTTATAATTGTTCGGCAACTTCTGACGGATTCATTAGTACATATAAGAAATATTCTAACAAATTATTATAAATCTGAAAAAGTCACATTAACAGTTATTGAATCGGAACATTTCATTGATTTTTTACGCGTATTCATAAAAATATTCATTCCATATATCAACACTTGTATTCAAGCATTATTTCCTGATACACAATTAGCTCGTGAATTAGGTGTGTCAATTTTGGATATAACTGAAAAATCAAAATTAAATCAAATCGATATTGATCAAGTTATTGAACCCATTAAAACAATCATTGATTCAGTTATGTCGAAAAAGAAGACGCAATCAATTGAAAATGTTCAATCAGAACTTGAAACTATTCCATCGGAAGTAAACGGCCAACAAGAACAAGAAAACACAACGGACAATGCTGATAATAAATCTGATGTAGTTGAATAATATAATCAAATTGTTTCTCGCTTTTAATATTCTTATCTTTTTATTTAAATAAAATTTATCGGGAAAATAGGGTATATATACAATCGATTTTTATAGGTGATATCTGCTAAATAACGTCGGTAAAGTTAGCACCGAACTCGAGTATTTCCAGTCCGGATTCGCATCTGATTCTGTTAGTTCTAAAATCCCTTGTATTGAGCACAGAATTTAATTGTCTATCGATTGGTAGTTCTCAAAATAGGGCTTGTCGACCAACAATAGAAGTCTTCAGCCGAAATACTGGGTCGCGTGTGGGTTGCCAAGAAGTTACCCAGATCCTCAGAATTGCCATTCTTTTGGCAAACAGATTTTTACTTTTTTTCTTCATTTAAAATGATGCGCTAATCTAAACAAATATGGATTGAAATTTGAAAATTTATGAAGAATGTGCATTTAGTCCATGTCAGATATCGTATACATGCACATGAATCGGTATGGAATGAATTTCTATTTTTCTGCTTTGTTTTTGTTCGTCATTGGTTGTTGAATTCTTGAATGGGTTCGTTTCTATCTCTCCATTCTCATCCCATTATTCATTCTCTCCTTTTCATTTGCATCTGTTTGTTACTACAGAACCCACTTAGCAGTGCAAGTGCAAACGAGTGATGGTATTCAATCGAAAACGAACAGATTTTAAATGCTACTGACTTGTGACATGTGTGAATAGATACATTCAATTTTCAGCTAACATGCTATCCTAGTGTGTCAAGAAACAAGTCAAAAGAAATGAGAAATTGATACGCAGCCAATTTTCAAATCTTGTTTGGAATGCTCTAGAAAGAATAGATGTTCGGAGCTATTAGTTTCGTTGTATTATTCGACACCAGAGGATTTTAATGAAAACTCAGAAAAAACCTTTCAGCAAAACAAGATGAAATTACAGTATGCATTGAAATACTTTTAAAAGTTTTACAGAAAAGTGAAGAAAAATTGGGTCCATATATTATTTTTGTTGCCGATTCCAATCAAACATCAGGAACTGTTGAGAGTGGTACCGAATCTTAATTAGAAAATAATAAATAAGTATCGATATACTATTTTCAGTGTTCATTGGAGCTAATGTCATTGCAACAGCATGAAGAACTAATTACATACAAGCTCAATAGCTCTTCATTGACAACAACTAAAAGCCTACGGTTCCTCTTCAATTGTAAGAAAAAATAATTTTAAAACTCTTCGTTGTTTTTCTCAATATTTTACAGAAAACTTGAGAAAGGCATATCGCTTAAGAGAAAGACTATATGTCCCTGAAGTATATTGAAAACGTAGAATCAGTGTTAATTAAAGATAGTATCGTATTTTAAAAATGCACATATCTCTAGTTACTGGCATGATCAAATAGTGCTGCTGCAAATGAGACTAAACATTGACAATAAATACTAATTATACCAGATCTGTTCGTCTTCGCCACTATTGTCCAATAGATTTTCTGATGATTGAAATAAAAACATGACGACAATAAGTATTAATGAATAAGGCATGTCAGGAAATGTAGGATCAACCTAAATTAATTAATTTTATTCAGCAAAGGGAAAAACAAGACACAATTTACCCAACTTCTTTCAACATCTGCTATGCATGAGGTAATAAACAATCTTGTTATTAACCAAACGTTCATTGATGCATTTGTAATCATAGCCAATATGAATGTATTTCGAAAATATCGGTAAATATTTAGTTTAAAAGTATTGTTTATCGAACGCAATTCCCTTATTCTTATAATGCAATTTTTCAATATCGAATACAAAAATTTGCTAGTCATAGCCCATAATAATGCATATACCGAAAATTTTATAAACCACAGATCCAAAAGCTCTATAGTCAAACGGAGTAATCCTTCAATTATATAAATAATAAAATAGAGTATACTCATAGCAAATAGTTTTAGTTTTGTTGGTCCTAAATGTGAGTTGATTATACCATAGCCAAGCGTAATCATAGTGAAAAGTGCAAGTATTGCGGTACGTTGTAAACATGATATAACTTCAGCGCTAACAATAAAAAAGTTAACTTTATGTCTAAATTTAAAAAAAAAATTTTTTATCTATTTCGCTGCTTTTTATTCAATTATTTACCCATATCGATTCGCAGTCTCATATGCAACTAAATACATTGTATGTTGAATCATACAGATAAAAATAACGCCCCCAATATAAAAATGAATTCGATGTAACTTTTGCCAAAGTAGTATGCACCAAATAAGAAATACAATAGCGTAAATGGAATAGATACTACTCATAACACGGTGCATGATTAAGAGTGGATACTCATCTGCTGTCATATAACCAGCACGACGATTTTTCATTGAGATTGTAACATTAATATTAGTATAAAAAATGAGTGATCTAGCAGGCTTTGGTGTAAAAAGTTCAATAAAATAATGACCATCAGCCCATGTTTGTAATATTTGATTTGCTAGTTTACTTACAGCAGTTGTTAATTTTGTTGTCGCATTACCTTGGTTTATTTGTGATTCATTGTCAGGAAGATGATGTCGATCTTTCGAAGTATCTAAAATCTTTAAATATAGAATTTAATTAAAACTCTTTATAGTGAGTTCTAGATCGATTTATAATCACCTGGCTTCGTATTTCGTATGAATCTTCGGACTTGTTTTCTGGTGTTTTTATATCCGTTAATTTATCAACGTATAATTCACTTGGATAATTACAATCTATTTCTTGCATTGTAAACCATATCTGCTCCAGCTCATCCCATAACGCATCATAACGGGTCCCGTAGATTGATCGTACTTTGAGACTACTATCTTTCAATACTAAACCCATTGGCGAAATATGATAAAATTCCGATGATGAACATCTAACGACACGTCCGATCCGACCGTGTATTTGAATTTTTGCTTTTCTATGATGTTGATATCGTTTAATATTTGGAAATAAGTGATCACAATTAACTTTCAATTGAATTCTTGTATCGCGAGTTAAAGCTCGATATATAACTGGAAATGATCTAGTAAATGACCCGGATAATGTGAATATCCCATCGACAAGATTTGCTGATGAATATTTCATTAAACAGAACAGTAATAGATGTAAGAGCAAATACTTCCTCATTATTGTAATCAATCTGCAAAAAATTTCTACTTTGAGTTATACAAAGTTTTTCGGTTAAATTTCTTCTTGCGCTTTTACTAACTCGAAAATAACCACCTATTTCGAATCACACTATACGCTAGCAAATATCAAAAAGGAAAAGGGAAAAAATGATAACGCCATTAACATAGATGTGAAGTTGTTCGAAGAAAATTTCTATTCAAAACATGTATTTTTTATTTTTTGCATCCTCTCTCTTTCTTACACTCGTGAATCAATATCGGCCAGACTCCCTATATTTCCACTAAACATTTTTTTACTATGTAACGATGTCAGAATCTGGTAAATATTAATGACGCTGAAAAAACTTTTTATTTGCCCTCCATAATATTATTTCAGATCGAAAAAATACAGTCGTTTACATGAATTATTAAAATTTCGCAGAATTTTGTTTTCGCTGACGATTGATTTTAGCCGACTCCAACTTCGCCGAATAAAAATTTTAACCGGAAAATATCGAATAAAATCTGATCCATGTTAGATATAGAATTTTATTCTAACTAACTACTTTAACAATGAATTGATTAATTAACCCCATGTGACTTGGTAACCATCTGAATTGGTAACTCACAGCCACACCCACACCCTTTTTTTTTATAAATTTTGTCAAAGATGCTTCAACAGTTGCACATCCGTTCTTAGTTTTCCTCTTTATCATTTCTTAATTCACTCATTATTTAATACGTTAAGTGCCCTGTATGGCGATCAAATACTCCCAATAAATGTGAAACAGCAACTGGGATGAAGGCTTTATATTATATCTGGCTTCCTCAACAGATTAAGCGGTGCGGTCTCTGGTGGACAAATGTTGGCAAATATATGTCAAAAATTAGACAAAATTGAATAATATTATGAATTAAATAAAATGAATAGAATGAATTAAAAAGAAATTGAATTAAATGATTTTGAATAAAATATGAATTAAATAAATTAGAATAAAATATGAATTAAACGAAATTGATTAATTAAAAAAATTACAATTGCGAGAACGACCTACCGACCGCATGATATCGACTCAACTGTCTGAGAAGCATGACTTGGAAGTTCCTACTTCTATTGCGTGGCTTTTTATCGGATGGCATCTTCGTCCATTGCTATGAAGTAACAGGCATTAATGAAAATTGATCGCACGAAAATATTCACATAAATCAAAACCAAAAAAATGTCCAAAAAGAATGGCTGGAGAAAATGTTTTTAAGAACGCTGAATCTTCGTCAAGAGACAACAGAAATATTTACAATGAACTCTTAAAAGTACTCATGAAGAATATTATAACAAGGCAATTGAAGCCTAATGAATGCTCAAATTATGGCTAACGAAATTATATTTTAACTGACTAGTAGAACAAAATTGAAAATGAAAATGAAAATGAAAATGAATTCTTTGTTATAAATTAAAAATTTAATGCTTTTTGAATTGATTGTATAGTGAAGGCGTTTGTTTTCTCTTTCTCTTTCACATGGCATAATTAAATTTTTGTTTTCTTTGTATTCTTTTGTTCGCTCAGGAGAGCTCTAGTTTCAGTGCGGAGATATTGTAACGGTATTTACCGTTACGGCTCACTTTATGTACTTTATCCTCGTCGCTGTATCCTATGTTTGTGCATTGACCTGATCAACTCTCATTGTTCTATTGCGTGACCGTTCCCTCTTTGTCTATATCCGCCCAAGTGTGATCGCTTTCGCATATATAAGGGAATGTAACTAAAGGAAATACACGACTAGAGATGTGCAGATGACATAATACACCATCATGCCGACGGGCATAGGCGATACTCTCTATGTTCGTCACATTGATAATATGGAGCGCAACATTCCGGTTATGAATTGATTAGAAACACTGAGAGCACGGAAAACGAGTTTAGCAAGTTTTATCTGGGTCGAACGGTGACGCAGAAAAGTACAGACAACAGTTAGCTACACTCAAAAAAAAGCTTCCACGCGAAACTTAATTTGCAACGAAATCGAAATCTTCTTAGAGATTTTGTATGAACCAGTGGCAGAGCCAGGGCTTTGGACTAGGGGGGGTCACTTTTAAAAGCGTGCTTTAGGAACAGTGTTGCCAGATCTTTCGGATTTTGAAAATTCTTCTGGACTTTTTCAGGATTTTAAAAGTCTTTTTGTAGTTTTTGAGGGATTTTGAAAATTTTTTAGGATTTCTTCAGAATTCTGAAAATTTTGCTGGATTTTTTTGAGAATTTTGAAAGCTTGTCTGGATTTTTCGGGAAATTTAAAATATTTTGCTGGATTGCTTCCAGATTTAATGAGGACTTGAAAACTTTTTCTGGACTTTTTTGGAAGTGTGGAAATTTTTTCTAGTGCTTGTGGGAATTTTGACAATTTTTCTGGATTTTTTTGAAGATTCTGAAAATTTGTTCACTTTTTCCTGGGTTTTCGAGTTCGCTAGCTGGTAGCACTTGCTAAAACGTTAAATTGGAAACAGTAATACATATTTATACTAAAAAATGTATCTTCTAAAATCCCGCTAGGGAGGGGGGCTGAGCCCCCCTAGGCCCCTCCTGGCTCCGCGGCTGGTATGGACCTAATCTGCTTTCAAAAGACTTATAAAGAGTGTAGGATATTTTTTTTAAGGTTTCGATGAAAGTCTACGAAACTTCCAAAAGGTTTAGATTTCGTTGCAAATGTCGAAATCTTTTTTAAGTTCCGTAGCACGCACGAAACCATTTTTGGTACTAAAAGGTTCCGCATGGAACCTTTTTTTCAGTGTATGTATGTAAAACCATGTGTTCATTTAAGGGAATCCCTGGTTTATAAACTGAGACTGATAATGTTTTGAGGAATTTTCTATTCTGGCATTTGTACATTGAACCAAGAATTGAATTATATCACACATATTATTCGAAGTCCGTCTCACTATAGAAAGTTGTGGGATCACGGTCTTTTAAACATGGGCCAGAATTAACATCCGAAAAGAACTTAATATTTGAACACGGAATTAATCCTCACTGTGTCTCGTCCAGATCTGATTTTTTCACTGATATTCGAGACTTTTGTCTGCATGACAGAACTAAGGGTCAAAGTTATAAATATTTATTTGTTAGGTCAATATGCTCATCGCCGAAAGCCAGTAGCACGTTTGTAGAGGAGTTTCGTTGATCTCAATTTTTGACGATGATGTACCCAACCAGTTGTTACACACAGCGAAAAACATGATGTGAAATTTTTTTGTTGCCATTTCTCCAAGGAGGAAACAGCGAGATTATAGGTGGAGTTCAATATGAGTACAGCGAATTATAGCGGGTGTACGATGGAAGTACAGTGGAAATATAGAAGAGATCTACTTCAGGTGTACTCCAGATATACGTCACTGTACTCCACCTGTTCTCCCACCCTACTTTAGAAATATGAGAGTCTCGCTTTTTTTCCCTGGCGTTTCTCATATAGTTTTATTCAGATTCAAAGCTTAATGTAGACCGGGCCTGAAGATAAATATGGATATAGACGCGGACCCGACAAAATCTAAATATCTGAACCATAGCCCGATAAAATTAATTTTTGACTCTGGCGGATCGAGTTTCCAAGAAGTCCAAGCTCCCTATCTAACAGTGATAGCGCAGGATTACTTTCAGAAAAAGGTCAGCTGATCCATCGGATGAACGCTACCTTGTTTAATGGTGACTCGATTAATTAGCCCCATCTGAGTTGTTAACCATCTAACTTGACAGTTAAGTCAGTTAAATCTGTTGCGTTGCTCAAACAGATACCACCGAGTGAAGGCGTTAGTCTTATTTTTTCATGCAAAATACTTGCGGCGATTTTAGTGTGGACGTGGGCGTGTACCACGAAAAAGACAGCCACATCTATAACGTCGACCTTTCTCAAGGGTATCATCAAGTAGCTTTTGCTCGGCATTGTCTTAAACTAAAATAGATTTGAAAAGATCTCTTAGCGAAATAAAGAAATCTTCCAAGATCTAAACAGTTTAAGTTCAACGAAAGCAGAGAATTTGAGAATGCGGGTGTGGATAACTTCTTGAGAACCCACATTCGACCCAGTGTTTCGGCTGAAAATCTATATTTTTGATAGGCAACACACAGTTTGACAGGTACCAGTGGATAGAGGTTGAAATTCTACATGCAGCACAATAAGTTAGCGAGCTAACATAAGTTCAGAAACGGATTCGGACTAACTATGCCGCAGAAAATATGTGTGAGACCCAGTATTTCAGTCTTAAACCCCCATTTTCAATCGACAATCCTTACTAAGAAAGTTGCCAGTGGATAGAGGTCAGAACTCTGCATTTTACACAACTGGTTAGAAATCCAACGCAGGTTTAGAAGAGAATACGGACAACATATACTATTTTTTGGTCGAGAAGCCCTATTGTGAGAAGTACCAATCGATAGAGAATCAAATTCTGTACCCAACACAAGTGATTTTAGAACTAACACAGATTCAGATGCGAATCCGGTGCTAGTTTTACCTACGTGTTAAATCTGGATATTTTTCGTTTAACTTTTCCCTTCAAATGTTTTCGATTTTATTCTCTTGAGTGTGTGAATGTAGAGATTATTCAAATTATTATACAAGTATTCACACCAAAATGTCATTTTACTGAAATTCATACTTTTTCATTGAATAGAAAGCTTGAACAAGTTGCTGAAATCATAAGAAAATACACTTTAAATATTTAACTATTCTATATATCATATATAATAATATCAGCAATACGAATAGCCACATCTTGAATATTGTTAATAAAATTACTGTTCGCAATATCTTCCGGTTAAACCAATAGTATTTAAAGTAGTTCGTAAATTATCCATACATGCTTTTTTTTATACTCCTACGTACAGCTATACCTACTATGCCTAATTTAAGAAGTCCACATCGTGCAACATTTTAATTATTACACTTGACTGTTAAAAATCCTTCAAGTTGAATAAAAAATAAAAATAATGAATTAGCGTCTAGATGGTTAGGAATATGTGAGTTCCACATTTTAGCATGTCAAGGGCTGTGTTAACAAACTTTGTTTTCTAAACGCAAAGATTTATTGGCTACTGATTATCATATTTGATTTCTAATGCATATGGCTAAATATGCTACAAGAAAGACATCAGGAGAAGTTACTTGCTACAACAGAAAACATTAAATAAAGGGACGGTATTAAACCGGTTCTTGAGAGACACTAAAATTTCGTCGTCGGCTGTTTTTCGGTTTTGGCCCAGCAGCATGTTTTAACTGTTCATGAGCTCTCCTTTTGATCGTCAATTCAATTTTTCATGTTGCATTTTCTGATATTTGTCGGTAACTAGAAAAATAAAACATCCATTGTGAAACACGATTAAAAACGATTCATGAAGTATATAGGGTGACACTATAGGTGTTCTCTCTCTTCTATGTCTGCAGACCTTGACAAAAATCACAAACATAATATTACCAGACGTGATAAATATCATTGAGTGACACTCAAACAAATGCCATACAACTTTTAAATAGATCTAGATGAACTAGTTCTCCATTCACGAACTGTTCACAAGTCTAATAATGGTTCATATATGTATTCTAATAGGAATGCCCTATCGGTTTACTAGTTCTAACGAAAAAGTGTCAGTATAAAAATCAAGTGGAACAAACTTGTATTTGATGTGGTTATTGATATATATTTTCTACTAAAACAAATTGCTTCGTCATCAACTGTGAAGTGTTCAGAATAAAACTTTTTTTTTAATGAAATCTACAAAATTCAATGAGAATAAGTATGATGTTAATTTGTTGTCCATCCTATTTTGCGCACGCTTAACTAAATTGCCATTTGAATTTTGCATTTAGTGACCATTTGTGATTGAACGAATTAATGTACTCCTCTAAAATTACATGATATTTTAGCAAAGAGCGACTCTTTGAGAAGCATACTTTCATTACATAATTTTTCAATTGCATGGTCACGTAAAGACAAACATCACTGGAGAGCGTGTGAAAAGTCACTTTTACTAAACATAAAACCTCCAACAGGTACTAAATATTTATACAGAGGATATTTTTTATCAGCAAGAATAATTGTTGAATGTATGCTAGAAAGAAGAATGAAATAAAAATGCCTTGAATCTGTTCATGAAATATTAAAATCAGTTAATCTTAATAATTTTTCTAATTTACATACAATAACATTTTCTGATATAGACATTCATTTCGAATTCTGAAATTTCATTTATGATGGATATTTAAAATGCTGTAGTTGTTGTAAAGAATGAAGAACGCAAGAAAAAGGAAACGTTTGGCAGTGATACGTTATCATACACACAAAACAGCGCTGATAGTTAGCTTTTATACATTATTAGTGGAAAAAGTTATATCATAGGGAAATTATTTTCTTGGACTGTATTTGCAACGTTTTCTTGGTGTTTATCGATACATTCTGATATAATAATAATGAACCAGGCTCGTAATTCAAATTAGTAAGATTGCTAGTTATTCAAGTTATTTAATTTTCATTTCATATTGAACAAACTAAGTGTTATAGGGCGAGACATCGTCTTTCTCATATTTATTTTCGAAACTTCTGAGTTCGAGATTTTCTTTTAAAGATTTTTACACTAATTCAATGACGATACCTACCAGCTGATATCTCGACTGACTAAATGTGACTATTTCTTATTATCCACTGCTTTTGTGTTTAAATTTCGCCGCTCAGATCAAACCGAAGCTTAAGAGAAAGAATTCGCTTCTATTCTTGTTCCGCGAACCACTCTACTATTGACAACTCTCTTAAACATTAACTGATTATTTTTCATGTTGATATTATTTTGTCAACATTTCCTCCTTCGATATTTTTACAGTCAGCCATATTTTTGTTGTCTCATGCATATACCCATATTTTAATTGATGCTATTTCTATTTATCTAATAATATTTACAGAATGCTTATGTTCCATTAAGACTTGCTTCCTTTCATGATAGCTTATGTATATTTTTGTTCAGTTCATATATAACTACTGTTGAAGGTGATACAGAAAATAATTTTTTAGACGTTCCTGATACTTATAACACTTTGTTATGTCTCCATCGTTATCTTCATCTAAGAATTGTCTAAATAATGCTCAATATGTAAAAGAATCTAAAATTATTTCTCTGACTTCGATTCCCAACTGTTAAAAAAACTTAAAGAATACGGAAAATAACTTCAAAATATGATTGATTGTTATTGTTTTTTTTTTCTATTATTCTTATAGTTTTCTACTTTGAAACTATATACAATTGGTTAATTTAAGACTTTTGATATCAAATAATAAAAAAATTAGCTCTAAAAAGTGCCTGTAAAAAGATTGCTCCTAAAACAAACATATTTCACGCGTGGGGTGGGATGCAACTTTTAGCTGCCACGTCCATCTCTGTTATCGACGATTGTTGATCCTTCGGTTGATATTTTCTTCAAAGAAAGTCATGTTATCCGCTTATTAAATAAAATATAGAATTCAACAGCTACACAGATATAAAAATATATTTCAAAATTAGACACTGACTACTATTTATTAGTATAAATAATTCTGGAACACACATTATAAAAAATTAAGTTGTCGAAATGCTGTACTCTAAGTAAAATTGAAAGTAGTGTTATTTTAATAGTAACATATTCTTGAGTAAAATGAAATCACGGCATAAAAAACATTGCTCTTTGCTGGATTGCTTCGCTTCTTCATATAAAAAAGTCAAAATCAAAATCGCTTCACCGTGAGAGTACGTTATCATCACGAAATGAATTGTTCTCTTCCTATAAATCCTGGTGATGGTAATTGTGCAAGACTAAACCAGAAAGATAGTTCAACATATATGTTGGTTGTGAGAAGAACAATGATCTTACCGTCTTGTAAAATAAATATAGCTACTCGCCGCTAACCCACTGGTTATCACCATACCAGAACCTAAGCCAATACCTAAACCTAATTTCACCCGTGTGAGTTCAGCTTGAAGAGCCGAGCAGTCCGATACCAGCGAAGCGACAGTGGTCGTTGTTGTTGTTGTTGGAACTATGATAGTTGCACAAGTTGTATTCGGACAAGGTATCGCAGCTGTATTTCCAGTTTCACAATTTTGTAACCAGCATATATCAGGACAGCGAGTAGTAGTCGTGCTCGTCGTCGTTGTTGTTGTAGTTGAGGTGCTTGTGGTGCTTGTACTAGTACTAGTTGTTGAAGTGCTTGTTGAGCTGGTACTGGTACTGGTTGTTGAAGTGCTTGTTGTAGAACTGGTAGTGCTGGTACTGGTACTAGTCGTCGAGGTACTTGTTGTAGAACTGGTAGTGCTGGTACTCGTACTAGTCGTCGAGGTACTTGTTGTTGAAGTGCTTGTTGTAGAACTGGTAGTGCTGGTACTCGTACTAGTCGTCGAGGTACTTGTTGTTGAAGT